GGTTATCAAATACATGTATTCTCTTTATTAGATTAAAACTACCGCTGTTAGGATTGTGAGCCTCGAAACTGTTCAAACTGAGCCTGCACCCGACCCACATCACTCCACAACTTCTTGTGTCGTAAATTATTTTGGCGGCCTCTAATTTTGCATTAGAGGTTTCCTGCAGCTGCCCGAAAACCGAAATCTTTTAGTTATCGTCGCTCTCATTTCCTTCATCAATCAGTTGGGTGGAGTGGTGGAGCTCATGCCGTCCCTCTTGCCCTCTCCCTAGTTGACCGCCTGCATGCAGGCATGCAGGACATCTGATTCGTCAGGAGCATCGGCACCGTGGTGCAGTAGAGGCGGCACATTTGGTAGCAGGCATGGCTAGGCGGTCAACCGTCTTGTGCGTTTCTGGCATCAATTATTTTGATTGGAGCATCAAATTATTTATCACAACTAAAAGAAACACTAGCCGAGGGGTTGCAGGAAACCTCTATTTAGCTCTAAATCTTCAGAGCACACCCTCGACATGTGAAAGGTACCTAATTTGGTTCTTACATACCTCAGCTTTGGATTCCGCAGCCAAACACAGTCTTGCACTCTCTCCTCCCGACATGCGAAGCCCTTCCAGCTCGTACGCTTCTGAAAACACATGGAGCCAATAAACACATTGCATGCCGAGTGGCCGGTCCACAGCGCGTCATGCGGCCACTCGGCATGTTGCTCCACATCTTTTTGTGTCCTCGAATTTTGCTTGTAAGGCCTGAACTGAGGGTCACAAAAGCCAGAATTATGTTTTCGGCGGACCTTCTATGGCGGACTCGGAGTCCAGTGAAAACAAGTAAGGTAAGTATACAAATCACTGTGCAAAGCAGTGATAATAATACACTGTTCCAGCAGAATGGGCCATCAAACGCCAGCGAGTGCTCTCATATTCAAGTTGTCCGAGTTTGATTTCACAAAGGACAACTCCGTCGGCGACGTCAGTGCGCCGTCCTGCGCCACCGGCAGCTCCACGTCGATGCCACGGCGCCCGCCGGCGCCGAGCTCCAGCGTCATGGTGTCCCGCGGGCCCGGGGCCGCGCGCAGCCCCGTCGCGGTGGTGCCGTGCGCGCCGCGGCTGAGGGTGACGCACCTGTCAACGTCCACCGACGACGCGCACGATGATCAGCGCCGGCGCGATGCCCTGGACACATGTTCCGCGGTGAGTGCCGGCCCGAGCGTGGAAGGCGGGAGAAGGAACGCACGACGAGGTGGTACACGGTGGCGATGCAGACCACCAGGAACTCGGCGGACGTCATGGGGGCGAGGAAGACGGCGATGGTAACGATTAGCGAGGCGGGGTAGATGAGCCCGCTTTCCAGCCTGGAGAACCGAAATCAGAGGGATGATTATATTATGGAGGAAATGTTGTTGACGTACAGAATGGCAATGAGGTCGGAGTACTTGCGGCGCGCGCTGTGGTTCAGGAAGTAGGATGCGCGGCGGCAGATCCACCAGATTCTGCCGGCTTCAATAATATTAATGAGGTCAGACACGCGCACGCGCGGGACGCCGCCGGGCGCAAGCCGGGCGCGCCACTCACCTGCGAGCGACGCCGCCAGCACGTTCGTGAAGAACGTCATTCCCAGACAGACGGCCACCGAAATGCGCTCTGATTGGCCGGAGAAGGGGAGGACGCCCACTATTCCGCCGACTGACGGCCGGGTCCAGTAATGTTAGCGCGTTCGCTGAGTTGCCGTGAGCGCACACTCACTGATGGTGCAGAAAAAGGCAAAGACAGGGGCGGCCACGACGCGCCAGTTGTGCCCCCAGACCACATAGCACCGGTAGACCTGGGGAAAGAGTCCATGGCCATGTCAGGTCGGTGACTTGGAGTTGCCTTCTTATCTCACGAGAATGCCATCGGCAACGATGCTGAGAAGTACATGTTTCAGTTGGAGAAGACAGCAATTGATGAGGACGCATGTACTTACTTCGCTATCGTATACGTCACCTTGATGAGGCGGGCGAAAGTAAGCACCACGATGGGGTCATCTGGGCCGTACAGGGGAACTGCGGGGTATTGCAGCGAGAAAACGTCGAATACGGCGGTCGTCGCGGTGTCGGTGACGAATGCCCAGGCCCAGGCAATAACGACGTGGATCGTGGAGAGAAGGAAGAGGACAATCATACATCCGAGGTGGAATTTGTAGTTTGCGCAGCGCCGACTGAGGAGGCTTTGCACGGACTGGAAGAAGAGCACCGCGTAGATCGCTGTGCGCGTTCAGCGAGGGTGCGAGATACCTAGAGTGCCAGTGGTCAAGCATCACCGTATATCGAAGAGTCAATCTGGAAGATCCTGTCAACAACATTTGCATTTTGGAACGAGGATCTCGTACCACCAGCGGAAAGAACTGCAGGAAATGACTCGTCGGTGGCTAGCATTCGGTTAAATTCTCTGGTGCGAAAGACAGACGGAGGACGGAGCTGACCATGGTGGTGGGGAATCAAAGGCGACCGCGCGAAGCGAACGTCAACGCCGCTTGGCCTTTGAGTTCTAACAGTACATACATCAGGAAATGCTGGAAAAAATTGTCTGATTTGAGGAAGTTTACATAATTCGGCAAACCTTGTGGCACCTTGTCGGACAATATATGGCCTTGTACATCGACCACAACTATGGGGTGACCTCGTAACTTGGGTGCCAATGTTAGGCATTATGGTAAGGCTTCTGTCATAATTACTCTTACCTTCCAAGGGTACTACAACATTTGAGGGGACCTTGTAACTTGAGCGCCAATGTTAGGCAACATTCTAAGGTTTCTGTCATATTTATTCTCGCCTTCCAAGGGTATTACAACATTTGTTTCCGCATTGTCGCCTTCATATAAATTAATTCCTGGATTCTAATGTTGGCGCCGAGGTTATTGGCCCTTTCCAATTGGACACAAGTTGTTAAGCGTCCTTGTAAGACCCTTGTAAAATGCACACCAAGCTTGAACTGCATTTCGAGGCTGAGCAATATATGTCATGAGCCTCGGAATATCAGTGTGACATCACGTTATATAACTTATACGTGTCTGCGGCAGCACCACCACTCGCGCCGCGCAGTCTGCACGCCACCCCCGCCACCCCCGCCCTCTGCGCGTCACCCGCGCCTGCCTGGGCCATCTGTACGCCACACGCGTTGCCCGCACCCTCTGCGCATCGCCCGGGCCGCCTGCGTCCTCTCCACGCCACCCCCGCTGTCTGCACGCCGACCCCGCACCCTCTGTACGCCGACCCCGCACCCTCTGTACACCGACCCCGCTGTCCCGCTTCCCGCACGCTCTATTGAGCGTGCGTGGCTCCTTCTTGACGCCCCGCGCCGCCGCCGCGCCTTCCACCACCGCGCACGCTCCTGCCAGCGTGCGCGGGCTCGCTGTGGATGCACCGCCCCGCGCATGCTCATGGGAGCGTGCGCGGGCCCCCTCTCGATGCCCTGCGCCACCGCCGCGCCTTCCACCACCCCGCACACGCTCGCAGAAGCGTGCGCGGGCTCCCTCTCGATGCCTCGCGCCGCCGCCGAGTCTTCCACCCCACGCACGCTCCTGCGAGCGTGTGCGGGCTCGGTCTCGGCGCCCCGCACTGCCGCCGCCCTGCACTGCCCCGCTCTCGATGCCCGCACCCTTTGTACGCCGCCCCCGATTCCCGCATGGTGTGCGTGGACTCGGTTTCGACGCCCGCCGCCACTGCCACCGCCTTGCAACGCACGGGGCTGCCCTGCAGCGTCTTGCGACGCCCCGCGCGCGGGCTCGGTTTCGACGCCCTGCACCACACGCCACCGCCGCCGCCCTGCACCACCCCGCGCACGCTCTATTGAGTGTGCGCGGGCTCGTTTTCGACGCCCGGCGCCGGCGCCGCCCTGCGACGCCCTGCACCGCTGCTGCCGCCTTGCCACACCCCGCGGCGCCAGCCTGCACCGCACGCCGCGAGCGTGCACGGGCTCGGTTTCGACGCCGCTCCCTTGCAACGCCCGCGACGCTCGACGCCGCCGCCTTGCGATGCCCCGCGGTGCCAGCCTGCACTGCACACCGCGAGCGTACACGGGCTCGGTTTTGACACCCGCCGCCGCCCTGCATCACCCCTCCGCACTTTCTATTGAGCGTGCGCGGGTTCGGTTTCGACGCCCGGCGCCGGCGCCCCGCGGCGACGCCTTGCACCGCCGCCACCTTGTTGTAACGCCACGTGGCGCACCGCACGCCGCCGCCGTCGCCCTGCACCACCCCGCACGCGCTCTATTGGGCGTGCGCGGGTTCGGTTTCGACGCCCGGTCCCGGTGCCGCCTTGCGATGCCCCGCGGCGAACGCCCTGCACCGCCGCCACCTTGTTGTAACTCCCCGCGGCGCCGCCCTGCACCGCACGCCGCCGCCGTCGCCCTGCACCACCCCGCGCGCGCTCTATTGAGCGTACGCGGGTTCGGTTTCGACGCCCGGTGCCGCCGCCGCGTTGCGACGCCCCGCGGCGAAACCCTGCACCACCGCCGCTGCCTTGTTGCGACGCCCCACGGCGCCGCCCTGCACCGCACGCCGCTGCCGTCGCCCTGCACCACCCCGCGCACTATTGAGCGTGCGCGGGTTCGGTTTTGACGCCCGCCGCCGCCGCCGGCTTGCGACACTCCGCGGCGCCGGCCTGCACCGCCCGACGCCGCCGGCTTGCACCACCCCGCCCACGCTCAATAGAGCGCGTGCGGGCTCGGTTTCGATGCCCCGCGCCGCCGGCCCTGTGCACGTACTCATTTGTTACATGGGGGGTTACAACAACTTGAAGTAGTTAGTTAGTTATTGTTAGTTGGCTAGGTAGTGCTATGGATATGTACTTTTGAAAAGAATTCTTGCCTACCGTGCTACACCATGTTTGTCTTTTTAAGGCTGTAGAGCAAGCACAGTCTGTAGAGATCACTGAGCTTTTTTTTTTTATACTTATTTTTCCGCTACTTCAAGTAAGCGTTAGGCCATGCATGATAAAGTGAATTGAGTTTCAATATGTTTAATGTTCTTGTGGCGTAGTTGGAAAGTGTGTTGCTGCCAATGTTTTGCACGTGCACGTACGCGCGAGGTTGCTGGTTCGAACCCGGCAAATAACACATTAATATCGAGTCTGAGTTTTAAGTCTGACTTCAACACTAAGTTCCTAAGTTTCTGAGTCTAAGTTCAATCTGAGTTAAGAAAACCTGAGTTCAATACTAAGTTCAATCTGAGTTAACAAATGACTGACTTCAAAGGATCTAAGCTAATGAAAAATGACTGACTTCGAAAGATGTGACCTAAATGTTGAAAGAAACAGAAAGTGATGAGCCCAGATGAAAGGAAGTACTAATAGAAAGTGTGTACTAGGGAATAACATTTTACATTTCTATTTATACTGCTAGCAAAGATTGTGCAATATTGTCAGCTTTGTGCAAATGCCTCGTAGGTGCCGGGACCTTGCGCACTTTGCATTGCCTTACATTTTTTATAATCTTCTGCGCAACTTATAAGTGCCGGCAAAAATTGTGCAACGTTGTCAGCTTTGTCAAAATGCCTCGTAGGCGCCGGGACCATATATGGTTCTACAATTATTGCGCACTTTGTGACGCCTTTGTGCCACAATGTAAGGCTTTGTGTCACATTGTATGGCAATGTAGCATTTTCCCGGATTTCCTGATGTAGAAGTACCTGGGATCTGCCACAGCGTGTGACTCCGAGTGATGCCGGCTACTTGACGGCATGGACAGCCGGCACTTTGCCCAAGAGGCGAGCGATCTCTGGATCTTGGAAATTGATCTGTGCACGTGAGTGCCACTGATCGGTCGCGTAACAGTCCGCCGTAACAACGCCATCAACACGGCCGACGCCTCGATAATTTTGCCTGGAGCGAGCTGGTGCTCAGTTAGAATAATCCAGAAGCTACATCACATGTTCCGTATTTCACATTTACATAAAAAAATATGTGTCTGTATTGTTGCCGCCCAAGTGCATCGTAAACAAAAGTCGGGTGTCGCCGATGTGCGACTCGCGCGCAATTCGATGCTGGCGAGCGCCAGCAGGGAACACGGCGCTCGACGCGCGAGTGCCAGTGGGTGGTGCGACTGTGGTGTGGGTGGTGCGACTGTGGTGGTACCCATGAGCTGGCACGCTGATGGCCGGGGTAGCGCCGCTGACTCAGAATTGCCTTATTCGGGGGGGTGGGTCCCCGTGAGATTTTTTTACAAGATCCAGAGATCGCACGCCTCTTGACTTTGCCACTCACTTTGCCACGACCAGCACCAGAGGCAGCAGCTTCATATTTCCGAGAAACAACACCACTCTGCTCCGGAAGACCGTGGGGCTCCGTTTCAGAGGTTGCTGGTGGGCTTGCTGCTGGACTCCCCTGCCTTGCTTGCTGGCGGATATGTCGTGTGGAAGGGCCACGAAAAGCACGAGGAAAGGTACGGCGCCGCTTCTCTTTCTATCTCATTGTTCTACTATTGACCGCGTTTTTTGAGCAAAAAGCACACATTCGGGCTCTACAGAACTGCGCCGAGGCTCGAACTGCTCAGTATGGTCCCCTGGCACCTGCTACGTGAATGCTGAGCCACGATAAGGAAATTCCTCATCGGGCAGGAGCACTCCTGGACGTTGTACATCTGCAGGGCGTTTTACGAGGTTTGCAATTTACTTTTCTTCCCAGAATAGTAGATTAACGTGGGTGTCTCCAGGGTGACATCCCTTCAAACTTTCTGTAGCCACCTTCTAAGGCACAGAGATTGTTAAGGCGTCCAACGCTTTTTTTTAAAAAAAAGGCGCAGTCGTTGGTTACAAGCACGAGGAGATCCACGTAACTTACTTCCGTCCGAGTTGACGGATTTTCCTTTTTGTTTAACCAGCTTGGGATCTACGAAATTCTCGTCGGCGATATGAAGGGTCTTCGGTGGGTTGACGCTAACGGGTATTTGAATTTGAATGTTGCGAGTCTCGGCGGCTACAGGCCTGTCGAGGGTGGGCGTGAATCCGATGGGATGCCTCTTTACATCGCAGAGGCGGCAAGGCTTCCGAGAGATTGGACGGTGATGAAGTCCAGTGTTATTTTGCTGATTTGAATGGAAGGTGCATATATCCGAGACGGAGAAATGTGTCAAGGTAGGTTTCCATATTCTTTCTCCCACTACTGTTACCCACTGCAGTCTCTATAGTGCTCTGCCACAAATTGCCTAATGGAATATTATCTGGAAATTATGCTACATGGTGCCAAAGGAATATCCAAGACTCATCAAGGTTGCTCTGTCAGTTAATACGTTGAACCCGTTCTTGTGCAAACGAGGCTTTTCGCGGTGGGTCGCCCTGTCCTTTGTTTCTTTAATCTTTTCTCTGTTCTGATCCTTTACACCTTCCTATCCTTATTTGGAGCCTCGAGCTCATAGCCGTACCATTCCCGTATACATCTCGCCGTGACGCTGTCCCGCTAATTTTGAGTGCTACTGAAATAAAATTGATGTGAAAACGCGGGGTTAGTAGGGGAGCGAAACCTGCCAGTGTACCGCTGACTGACACTGGCAGGTGCGTGATCCCATCTTCAAGTTGGGTTTTCAAGATAAGAATGCTCGGTCTGCTGTTTGTACCCTCACAGTCACTATGGTCCACGCCATCGATCTCCTCAACGCCCGTGTGTGTTATTTTTGCTGCCCTTCGTGCTCCGCTCATCTTTGTGTAGGTCGCGGACTCCGCTGTGGGGCGATGGTTCCGCCTAGACGGGTGTGGGCATCCTAAGGAGCGAATTGGCTCAAGGTGCGTACTCTGTTATAACAGGCCCTTGCTCCAATTGACCCCTGAAGATTCACCACAGAAATTCGCGCCGGGTTGACTACATGGGTGAGGGCGCAGGCCGCGCTGCACGTCAAATGGCCAAGTCTGACATGCTTCGCAGGCCGCTATGGCGTACATTGTGCGCTTGACGCTAATGCGCTAACAGTGTCCTGACCTCAAGGGTAGATATCCGTCAATGCCTTGGTTATTTCCGACTCGGGCGGGACGTGTGTCTGTCCGACAGACGACTTTTGCCCAACTGGTTCCAACGCAGATTACGACGCCTGTGTAAACGACGTGCGACTCGACCTCATCACCTCCACGGCGGCCATATCTGCGCTGGCATCGTTCCTCATGGGCCTTCTGGCAAATATGCCTGTTGGCATGGCCCCAGGTCTTGGCCTCAATGCCTATGTATGTCTCTTCTGATTATCATGCATCTGTCTGGAACAATTTCGGGTTCTCAGTTTACGTCAATCGTTGGCTTCCACGGCTCCGGCGTGATCAAATACCAGGATGCGCTGAGCGCCGTGTTTCTCGAAGGGTTGGTTGTCCGTCCCTCATCTCTGCAATGCCTTATGTGGCCTTTTTAGGTGGATTTTTGTGATCCTGTGTCTTCTCGGTCTCCGTCAGTGGCTTGTCCGAGTCATGCCTCAATCTCTGGTTTTGGCAGTTGGGGCCGGCATTGGTATTTTTATTGCGTGAGTACCATCACTGTTCAAAGTTCACCACTCAAACATGACAGGTTCATCGGGCTGTGTACGGCTGTCACTGTCTGGATCTAAGTTTTCATGCTGATTCATAAACCAGCCAAGTCCGGCCTCAACGTTATTGCTGGCGATCCTGTAAACTATGTCGGCTTGGGTGGATGTCTCCCTGAAGATATGTCGGCTTCCGGCTTCTGCACAGGCGGCGTACTGCGGAACCCTACCATGTGGCTTGGCATATTTCTTGGAGGGTGCGTATGGGTGCCTCTTCTCAATACCTATTTCACAGTGCGCACGTTCGCAGAATGGTAACAGTGCTTCTCATGCTCTATCGCGTTCGCGGCGCGATCTTGATTGGAATCTTCCTGACCTCAATCGTTTCTTGGCCACGCTCAACGGCTGTCACCTACTTTCCGCCCACTGACGCTGGAGACGCTGCCTTTGACACTTTCAAGAAAATTGTTACCGTCCATCGGCTCGAGAAAATAGGGAATGTCATTTCCGTAAGTCTGATCTGCCCTCTTGAAGTCTGTCAAATGCTAAGCAACTGGGACATTAGTACCAATACGGGTAAGCCAAAACTTCTCGAAGTGATCGATCCCAAATTAAGCATCGGCGTACACAGTAAACTCAGAGTATGGTATGCTCTCGTCACCTTCATCTATGTCGATATTTTGGGTAAACCGTATCCCCACTATGGCGTCTTCATTACTGACATTCAATAGATACCACCGGTACCCTGTACTCCATGGCGAAATTTGCGGGATTGCGGGATCCCGTCACTATGGATTTTGAGAATTCCACGATAGCATACTGTGTTGATGCGTTCAGCATCAGCATGGGCGCCCTAGTGGGAACGAGCCCTGTCACAGCCTTCATCGAGAGCGCAACAGGTATCAGCGGTATGGTTATTCTTGCACTGGCCTAGACGCTCTCACGTCATGTGCGCTGACAGAGGGTGGGAAGACTGGAATCACGGCAATGGTCACTGGCCTCTGCTTCCTTGTCTCCGTGTTCTTCGCTCCGATTTTTGCTTCGATCCCACCATGGGCGACAGGTGGAGCGCTCATTGTTGTTGGTTGCTTGATGGCTCGCAAGTATGTCACCTCCTTCCCGCCCGAAGCGTCTTGCCGAATGGTTGAAACAGCGTTCGAGACATAAATTGGGACTATGTCGGCGACGCGGTCCCCGCTTTCCTTACTATTATTATCATTCCGCTTTCCTACAAGTGCGTCAATGACAGTCGGCAATTCTCATCGACCGTTGCTGATCAACTTGTTAGCATTGCATACGGCGTCATTGCCGGCATTGTTTCCTACTTTGTTCTGAATGGTATTCCTTGGGTGATTACTCGCCTCACCGGCGGTCGCATCGTTCCTCCGAGCATCGAAATGTCTGAGGAGTTGTCTATTCCGCCTGGCGGCCTGGTACCTATCTGGATGTGCGTCTGATGTGCCACATGTCAAGAGCTAACTGTAACCGAGCTCCAATCCAGGCGTAAAGTGATACGGGCATATAAAAAGGAGCCAGAGGACGGTGGGGTACCACTCGAAGTGCGTGGGCACGGTCAGTTTCACGAGACAGATCAACGCTCCGAGAAGACGGATGACGCCAGC